TGAAATTTGATGCCAAGCATGATCATGATTTGCCAGAAGAGCCTCTTTTGGGAGATGACAAAGAATAAACAGCAGAATGAAATTGAAACAATCAACTGAATCAAGTCTCAGTTTAAGAAGATGATTTTAAATATATCATATTTAAATTTTGATTTGAGAAACAGACATAAATCCAAAAATATGATTATATCATTTTCAAGATAAATAGATTTTGTTGCAAAATCTAATATGTTTAATTTGGAATAAATGTTCTTTTAAATATTTGTCAGATCTTGCATGTTTACATCTGTATTGAGGTCTTCCGCTTCCAAGGGAAGACATACCAATTCTAATGGTAAAGATCATAGAGGTCTGTCTTCAGTGGCAATATATAAGATATAATATGTGTATTTTTACAATATAATTGAAGGAACATTGCTATCTTGGCATAAACAACTAAAGAATTAACAAATGTGCATGATTCAGAACAAAGGAAATGTTATTTCAAACACAAGATCAAAGAGATGTCCAGTCACATTTCAAAGTCAACAAAGCACAAAATCTGTTTACAGTTTAGCTCATATGAGCTAAAGCTGTAGTAAAATTTTGAAAATTCACCCATTATCATCTTTATCTTAAATTCTTCAGAATTTCATTTCCTTCTCAGAACAACTGGACAAAGTTAAGTTAAACTTGGCACAGAGCATTCTTTAGTGTAGATTTCTGTGATTTAGTGATTTTCATAGGGTCACATTGACCAGCATTTTTCTCAAAATTGCTTTTAGACAGAAACATAATATTTTCAGTGATGATAGAGCTACATGTGCTGATGTGACATATACCTCTCTCTTTCTCTGGAAGTGCAGCACGTCGGCGCTCGCTATGGCTTGTAAAAAATCCCTTCGGGGATTTAGAAAATGTTCACACCTTTTCTGCAATATCTTTTTACATGTTAATATTTTGTAAAGATATTAAGAACAAAAGTTGTGAAGAATATCACGATCTTTCAAAGGATATCAACTATAAAGGGCTTGCCCCTATAATTAAGGACTTAGAGGGACCAAAATTTTTTCCTTAATATCTGAAAAAAAAATTTGAATTTGTAATACGTCAAAGAAGCAAAGTTGTTCAAAATGTCAAGCTTAATCTATTGAATTCGTCAAAATGCGTCTGGTGACGTCACTTCTGGTCAAACCGAAAGTCATCAGAAAGTGCATATTTTTGTCATTCTTGACAAGGTTTTGGGTAACATATATCACTGAAGGCATTAAAGTTAATTTTTTGTCAATTCACATCACTTTTGGTCAAACCAGAAGTAGCCAAAAAAGCTTATTTTGAAGGTTTTGACTCAAAATTGAAATTATAAAGTCACTGGAGACAACTTAGCTCATTGCTTTCTTTTTGTTGATGTCACTTCCGGTCAAAACAGGACGGAAGACCTACTCGTTGCTTTGCAACGAGCTTTGCTCTAGTTATTATTATTTTTCTTACCGATTTTGTGCACGCGATTTCTCGAAAACGGCTCGCCCGATTTTCACCAAACTTTCAGATCTAATAAATATTCATCTGAACCTTATCGGAAATTTTCGTCGTTGATGACGTCACTTCCGGTCGTGAGATATGGACGATTTTCTGATTTTAAGAGGGTCGGCTTGTCCTGAGATCTCCTCCTAAACGACTGAAGATATCGACTTGAGATTTTCAGTGAAGGTAGAGGAAGGATAGTAGATTTGACATTTTGCATATAGAGCTTTCCAGGTAAAAAGGCACCGACGCTCGCCTGGGCTCGAAAAATAGGCTCATACGCATCTCGCAAAAATTGGTACGTTTTCTTTTATATCTTTTTACTGGTTAATATTTTGTTAAGACATATATTATAAAAAATGTGCAATAAAGTAAGACCTTTCATTTGATATGAAGAAAATGGGGTTAGCCCTTCAAATTAGGGGCATAGAGGGGCCAAAAATTTTTCGTCTTTAACTCTTTAATGATCAATATTTTGTGATACATCACTGAAGCAAAGATATTCAACTTAACTATTTGCAACAATATATACTAAAAATTTGATCATATGTTACGTAATAAAGGGTCACAGGGGGCTAGAATGCTAGATCTTTGACGCTTTATATCTCGAAAAGCGTGAATATTTTGATAAGCAATATTGAACAAAAGATGGTCAAAATAATGTTCCCAACAATATGCTTACTTTAGATTTGTTCATTTTGTCCGTCGACACTTCCGTTGTAAACCGGAAGTACATGTAAAGTAAATACTTGTACATGTATAGCGATTTTTTTTCATTTACTAATGAATATAATTGTTCATTAAAGAGATTTAAAGAATGCGTAGCATCCTAATATTTCCATCGGAAGTACGGTTCGTTCAAACCGGAAGTTGTCTTAAAATGAGTATTTTCCATCGAAACTTTCAGGAATGATTACTGCATGCTTGATGTAGAGTTGAAAGTAGTTTCGAGCACATACGGTCGCACCGGAAGTGAAGAAGTATAATCGGAAGTTGATTGGAATTGATAGATCGTACATTTTTTTTGTATTTCCAAACATATTTTGAAGAAGCCTTTTTGACATTTTTTATCCTATCAGTGGAATTATCCCAACACAGGTCTTATTCCATCAGATATCGGACGGAAGACCTACTCGTTGCTTGCAACGAGATCGCATCTAGTTATTCTTTTTTTTCTTCTACTTCCTAGACCGCAACTTTGAGGCCTCATATCTCGCTCATTTCTCAACGGCTTTCGCTCAAATTTTCAGACGTTATAGACGTTAATAAACTCTATCAGAATGGTGTCTAAAATTTCAAAAAGCCACTTCCGGTTTTGAGTTATTTCCCTTTAAAGGAAAATTTATAGGCTTTGGTTTCCAGACAAAGGCTCAGAGACGGCTAAAGCTGGAGCAGAAATTCTACTGATTTTAGATAAAAGAAGGATTGAAGTTGTGCACATCGGTTTTTGTTTTTCGATTTCTTTATTCAAAATGGCGCTATATAGGGGTCAAAAATTAGAACGCTGAAAAGAACCAAAAATTGCTCATATTTTTCTTTTTATCTTCTAAACTAAAAATATTTTGTTAAAATATATAGAACATAATTTGTGCAGAATTAGAAGATCTTTCTAATGATATGTCGAAAAAAGGGCTGACCCCTAAATTAAGGGACCAAGAGGGGCCAAAAGTTTTTTCCAGATATCTCAAAAAGTATTGAGAATTTGTTATACATCAAAGAAGCAAAGTTGTTCAAAATATCAAGCTTTATGTAATGGGGTCAACAAAATATGTCCGGCGACGTTACTTCCGGTCGAACCGGAAGTAGTCAGAAAATGCATATTTTTGCCGTTTTTGACAGGATTCTGGGTGACATGTCTCACTAGAAGCTTAAATATTAATTTTCCGTCCGTCGTCGTCACTTCCCGTTAAACCGGAAGTACCAAAGGATGGCTTAATTTTGCTATACTTAACATAGATTTGGAGGATTAACCCATTTTTGGACTTCATTACTCTTTTTTTTTAAATGAAAGTTACTTCCGGTCAAATTTCTGCAACTTCAATAGATTATTACGCTACAGGGTATTTGATGGAGAAGTTTGGATGTTGTATACATTTGAAATTGATATACCAATTACATGTTCAATTTCCACAAGATGCCATTTCATCATGTCTTTTGTTTAATTATTTTTATACTTGGATATTTTCATTTTCATTAGATCTTATTCTTTGAGTCAACTTAAATCAAAACTGCTTTCCCTCCAATGATTCACTTTATTACTTTCTTTATATACCAACCGTTCTCCGGAGACAGCTTTGATTACTCACGATAATTTAAATCAAGGATGTATAATTTTTCCTTTTTCTCCATTAAACCTTTCAAGAAAACGTTTACGTTCAATCTATTTTAAAATAAAAAATTACATTAGATATTATTGTTTATATAAAAAAATAATTTAAAGTAAAGAAAACACCCTACATATTTTAAATCTTTAAATTAAATGCTAAGAAGGGACATAACTCTGTAAAGAGGATCATGTGATGCATATAGTGTTCTCAATAGCAACAAGATTAGATCGGACATGAAACATTTTGAAAGCAAGAATTAAAGCTATTTATGAATTATATATTAATTTTTTTTAAATAAATAACAACTTTTAAAAGGATTTTATCGTAAACGTAAACAAGACTATGTTTACCTCTAAACGCTTTAGGTTTGAACGAGACCATATTTTGGGGCAGGGGTGTCTTATGTTAAGCTCAACGTTAATTCATTGTGTTATTTTTCATCTGAGTTTGATTTCACAGAAAATATAATATTAAATATAAAACCTTTTTCGTATTACATGTATCTGTTTTCATAATCTTGCATTTTGTTTATAAATAATAATTAAGCAACTAAAGCTTGGTGTTTAACCTATCCCCCCATTCGCTAACTTCGGAGAAACCAATGAATATTACACGTCCCAGATCTAGATATTCCACAGTAACGTAGCATCGTTTTTAAAAGTGGGAGGCCAGCCAGAGAAAATCTTTTTTTGCTTAATTGAAAAAGTTGACAAGCCAAAAAAAAGGGGGGGGGGGGTTGAATTCCTTCAAAATCTCAAATGTACGTAAACCCAATTTTTTTACGGTACAGTTACCTGAAGAGGGGGAGTGGTCCAAGTAACAGTGGTGTTATTTACCTGGAGACCCCCAATACCCAAGATGTCAAATAAATATATATATATATATATATATATATATATATATATATATATATATATATATATATATATATATATATATATATATATATATATATACATACATAGCATTACACAGGAAGTCTGTGTCTGGTGATCAAGGTCAACATTCCGTGTTTCGTGTCTAAATTTGAGTGAAACTACTTGAAATAATTGAAATATTTCAATATAAAATTTATTTATTTATACTTTCAGCGATATCTAATGAAGAAAAAAAAAGTTATAAAGAAATATCGTTTTTTTATCTCAGATGAGTGCATATAAAAACATCAAGTATGTATTTAATAAATTTTATTGTGGCGAAAATTGGGCACGGCTGTTTATCCAGAGACACAAATTATGAAAAGCTATTGGTGTCTCTGGCAACACAACAAAGCAAATATTACATATTAAATATTCAAACTCAGGTTCAAAGTTCAAAGGTCAAAGTTCACAAACACCATATCAGAAAGTGGTAAAAGCCTTGACCCTGGGAGGTGCAGAGGTCAAGCACTTATTTATGTATATCTAAATCCAAAGTTTACTTTTCAACTTTCATGAGTTACATGACTGCATATAAGGATATTTACTTAGTGCCGCTCGTTTACGCACATCTCAGCTGGAAAGAAACGGACAGCCGTACCGGATACTATAAATTCACATTATTGTTTAATGTTTGCGGTTAGAGGAAAATTATTGGCTCCTGGAAATGATGCATGACTTGCTCTTGGGATGAATCACTTCCATATAAATGGCTGTTCCTCACATCACTTTCGCATTAAATATCTTGAAAGTCCAGAATGCTGTGAGTCCATCGAGATACTTGTGGTTCAATCCCCTTGGCAATGGCTGTTCCCTAAGGTCCTAGTTTCATCCCGTAAGTCCTGTCATGTTGAGCTTGATAATCACTGTAAGTCTTCGTCTGAAAGCATTAAAAAACCAGAAAAGCAATATCTATTCTAAATGGGTGAGGTGGGTGGGTGCTTCAAATTAATAATACACAATAACAAGCTGGAAAATTTTTACCGACCCAAGATGATGCTGGAATATTGAAAAAGGAAGTTGCAACCAAAGCGCCCTCAGGTGTTTTTATTAAGAGGGGGAATGATCAACTAAAATATTTTACAAGAACGATAATCACTAGGAATAAGTACTGAGATTTAGGTAAAGCATTTAAATATGCACTTCCTTCGATAAAAGCAGCTAATTCAGAGTGAATTAGCTTTGAATATTATCTCAGATAAGTGCATATAAAAACATCAAGTATGTATTTAATAAATTTTATTGTGGCGAAAATTGGGCACGGCTGTTTATCCAGAGACACAAATAATGAAAAGCTATTGGTGTCTCTGGCAACACAACAAAGCAAATATTACATATTAAATATTCAAACTCAGGTTCAAAGTTCAAAGGTCAAAGTTCACAAACACCATATCAGAAAGTGGTAAAAGCCTTGACCCTGGGAGGTGCAGAGGTCAAGCACTTATTTATGTATATCTAAATCCAAAGTTTACTTTTCAACTTTCATGAGTTACATGACTGCATATAAGGATATTTACTTAGTGCCGCTCGTTTACGCCACAAGTTCCCAACCACAAGTTATTGTGGTAGGGAACTCCGCCACCATATGGGTGGGGGTAGAGCGGCAGAAGTAGCCATGCCCAAGCCAATACCTATCATGATTGATGAAATTGATTCCCTGTAAAATTAAACCTAACCCGAATTATACATGGATTCGATGTGATGACCCTAATAAAATAGTATAGATTTTGGCTATGAGTAGATCAAAGAAACATGTACGCATGTCTATCACTACACATGTAGAAACCAGGAATATATAAGCAAAATACATAATTGAGAAACAGATTAAATATTTAAAATCTATTTTATATCTGAATTAAAAGGAAACTGTACTAACCTTATTACTGTAAATTACCTATTTATTGGAATACAGCCGTACATGTATATCAAACTAACCTTATGAGAAAACCGGAGAAAACGAACGTTGTCAATCCAACTCGGATAAGTATACATGTGACCATACAAAGGTGAACATTTTATTGAACAAGTATCCCCTGAATTTCTTTGAGTAGGATCATGTGCTTGAGAGAAAGCATTCCCTAATGCCTGTTGAAATTTGCCTCAAGCCCTATATATTTTGATCGGCGCAATGGGACATTGTATTGAAATTTAGAATAAAAACAAGGGCCTACCAATTGGTACGAAACGTTAAAATATGACCTACTTATGGGTTAAATCTACTAACACGGTCAGTAAAACGGCAATAAAATTTACAAAATCTAAACTTTAAAGAAGGTTTATCTGTGTTTAACAAACTAAGTTACAATTCTGGTTAAAGCTATACTGATTAGCAAACATGGCACAATACGGTTGATTTAGAAATAATATTTTAATATACCATATAATGGTAGCTAGCTTAGGACACCCTCACCACTAATATTCAGAGTTGGGAAATATGCCACACTTCCAGCAAGAAAGTAAATAATGTTCAAATTAGAATTTGTACGAGAAGTATGTCCAATCAATGACCAGTTGGAGCCATAAAAATTAATACTCAAGCATTGTTGTGATTCTAAGGTTTTGCCAAAAATTAATTCCAATACACAATTGTAGACTTAGTGAACACTAGTGATCTTTTATGCTTCGCTGATTAAATAATATATTCTTGTAGTATATGAAATTAAAAGTAAATATTTGCACAAAGCATAATAAATTGTTAAATTATTTGTTTTCTAAATAAATAAATGATAATCAGCTGCACATCATATTTCGATTGTATGATGTACATGTATGTGATAAGTTTCATTTTCATAAAAATTGAAAAATAATTAGAACATGTAAAAGACTACAATGAAATAGGTGCAGATCTAGTAATTTTGTAGTGTGTGTACATTTTGAATGTTTAGTGTATGTAAAGGATGGAATGTTTTGTGTTGTGTATGTTTAAATTAGTGTATGTAAATTAAGGGCTGTATGAATTCAAATACACCAAGGGCAATGGGCAGCCAGCAATGAGCATGCCCCAAATCAAATAATCAAACATCAACAACACATATTCATGACATTCAAGATATTGTAGCTAGAGGTGATGATTAACATGATTAACAGTTGATGCATTGTGTATGTTTAGTGTACATGTATGTAAATTAAGGGCTGTATGAATTCAAATACAACAAGGGCAATGGGCAGCCAACAAGAGCATGCCCCAATCAAATATTCAAACAACATCAAACAACACATATTCACAATATTCAACATAATTCATAAGCTACACATCAACAATGTAGCTGGGAGGTCATGATCAGATTTTTTTTTTTTTTTTTGTAAAAATGCATTGTGTATGTTTATTGTATGTAAATTAAGGGCTGTATGAATTCAAATACAAGGGCAATGGGCAGCCAACAATGAGCATGCCCCAATCAAATATACAAACAACACATATTCACAACATTCAACATAATTTATACGCTACATATACAATAATGTAGCTGGAAGTTCATGATAATTTTTTTTTTTATTTTTTTTTTTATTTTAATGCATTGTGTATGTTTAATGTATGTTTATTAAGGGCTGTATTCAAATACAACAAGGGCAATGGGCAGCCAACAACGAGCATGCCCCAATCAAATATTCAAACAATATCAAACAACACATATTCACAATATTCAACATAATTCATAAGCTACACATCAACAGTGTAGCTGGGAGGTCATGATCAATTTTTTTTTTTTTTTTTTTTTTTTTTTTTTTATGCAGTGTGTATGTTTCCTGAGGCATGATGCAAGATGTAAGTGTAAAATGCTCTGTGTGAGTAGTTGTTTTATAAATTTATAAGAATTTTTAGATGGACAATGGGCTTTATTTTGGAGGATTAATGTATTTAAATTGATTTTAGTGTAAAGGCTATTATAATAATACTTGTGCAATGTGCAACCTATAGATGCATGCATGCCTAAAACATTCATGAACGATATTAAAAAATAAACATTGTTGCTAACAAAGGAATCAGCTAAATAGATTGTCATGAATTGAAATTTTCCATTTTGTTAAACTGTTTAGGCCGTCTCTACAGTCTAGCACATCAGAGTTGCATTAAAAGTATGATTCAGTGTTTTCCTTAAAAACCGGTTACCAGGCAAATTGACCGCTTCAATTGACAAAAATGTTGCTTTGAAACAAAATTTATTGTTAGGTACTCGACAGATAATTTGTTCATAAACATCAGCTCCTAGCATGTTACAACTGATCTCTAACCCCTTACTCTGAAATAAGGGAAAACACTGTATATGTATGGTGCCTAAACTCGTTAGACACTACCTATAAATTTAAAGAGAGGTTAAAAGGAGATATAGCAGAAATAAAACTGCTTAGTTAGGCAAAACCGTACACCAGGAATTATCATCAGATTCTACATGTATGAGGTGTTCCAGATTTCTACATGAGTACAACAGTCCTGCTGGAAGTGGGTATAAATTTATCTGGCTAGAATTTGATAAAACCATCCAAAATATTTAAGAGAGAAACTTTTAAATTGTATTTAGAATGTACCTTATTTTTATCTGAAATCCTTTTTTTTTAAAAAATAATTTGTCTTTGAAAATTTTTAAACAGCAAAAATGTGAATATAGGGCTGATAAGGTACATATTCGATTCCTGACCTATAGGCTGCATGATGAATTGTACCCATTTGCTTGTCACAATTTGCAACCAGTAATTGTTGATGACAGAATTTTAAATATCGATCTGAATTGTAATTTATGAGAAATTTTTAGATTACTCGTCCTGCTGGGCGTCAATACATATAAATTCGTGCATCTCCAGGCGCGTAGCCAGCATGAAAATGAAGTGTACGCAGAAAACGGTCGGGGGTCTGGGGGCCGCCCTGAGGCCCCCAGTGGGTCCAGGGCGAAGCCCTGGTGGGGGCCCAGGGGGCGAAGCCCCCGGACGCTCCTGGATTTTACAAAAATTTTCAGTCATTTTCTCGTAAAAGAAATCACGATAACATCACTTTTCTCGAGCAAACACTTAGCTAAGTTATACTGCTTCCATTGATACTTTGGGAAAAGAATGATAATTTATCAAATTAATTTACGCATATATTGGTATTGGAAAAAAGTTTAAAAGTGTGTCAAGATAAAACAGAGTAGCAATTTCAATATCGTTAACATTGGAGTTTAAATATTTCAAAATATAAAGGAGGTGTTGCTGTCTTTTGATTACATTCATATTTGATAGCTGAAACGATTCGAGAATGCTTCAATTATAATATAATTCTTTAAATTGGTAACATCAGTAAATGAAGCTATATATTTTTATTTATTTTGTTCACCATAATTTAAATTGTTTAACGACATTTATTCATTACCTCTACGGAAATTAGACCTTTGTAACTTTTTCTTTCGATCAAAGTCCCTTAGATCGCTTTCCTTCATCAAATATTTGTCCGGATAATCAGGATTACGCGGAATAACAGTTGAACATTTTGGTTCAACAACATTTTTTTCCTCAAGAATGTTGAAAGATGTTTTGGAATTGATTTTATAAAGGACGAAATTTGAATGTGCTGAAAAAAATTTGAATCGAAACAATAAGACGCAAAATAATTTGAAACACGGGTAGTGCCTCTTTTTCCCCGAATAAATTTCTCTCTTTCTTTTATTTCCTTCTTTACTTTTATCCCTCTGGCCTCTTTCTTCCTTTTTTTTTGGAAAATGATGTGTACGCACTTGCGTACTTGCGTATAGGCAGCTACGCGCCTGATCTCGGGCGGTCAGGAGCACGGTTATTTCAAACACTGTTGAGAAACATGTCAAGTGTCAATTATGGTAATTTAAGTGATAATACCAATATTACCTATTTGTATTTTATAAACTTAACAATAGGTAAATAACAAGTGAATTTAAATTTCCCATGTCATTGTCAGACTGATTTACAAGAAGTCATGACTATATTAAAACAATTTTATCAATAAATAACTTGCTTTCAGTGCATTAATTATATTTTATTTCCTGAATTTTACCATTAAAAATGGAACCCCTGAATTGTTGTTCTTCGAGAGCAAAACTAGAAGAATAAATCTATGCGCAATTCTAAAATTAAACTAAATTTATAAAGTTTCAATTCTGATATTGACTTAACGGACAGAAGTATCGTTCTTGATCCCACTTACCTTTTATGAAACCGATTCACAGGTAATAAAATATTTAGTCAATTAGTGGACTAAAACTGAAAGACTGAAAGTAAACATTAAGTAGTGTTTTTCTTAACTGGAAGTTGAATGTTCAAACTAAACTACAAAACCAAATCCGGAAAAAAATCACTTGTCAGATCGCTCAGCAAATGCCCGGATAATTGCGGGGTATAGAAAAATCGTGTTAAAATATTAGTTATTAAATCAATCTAGTAAGTGCAAACGATCCTAGTTTTAATATATCGATCATATCTATCCGCATCGACATGTAACGTTAATTTTAGAGTTACCCCCAGTCCCGATTTTAATATTGAATATTAGGCTTGGCCACGACCCCCCCCCCCCCTCACATTTAACTATGTATTTTAAATACATTTTTATCTAACTAGACCCTCTATTTATAACTAAGACCCCATCTTACAAGCTTTACAGAATGTCCACGCTACCCCCCCCCCCCCCCAAGGAAATCCATTAACATCGGGGACAATTGGCTAACTATACCTAATCCTATATTAAAAGCTGAAAATATCACTTTTAAAAATGCCTTCTCCAAATCAGTTAATAATTTCAATGACTGCTTCAAATTAATAATACACAATAACAAGCTGGAAAATTTTTACCGACCCAAGATGATGCTGGAATATTGAAAAAGGAAGTTGCAACCAAAGCGCCCTCAGGTGTTTTTATTAAAAGGGGGAATGATCAACTAAAATATTTTACAAGAACGATAATCACTAGGAATAAGTACTGAGATTTAGGTAAAGCATTTAAATATGCACTTCCTTCGATAAAAGCAGCTAATTCAGAGTGAATTAGCTTTGAATAATATTTTTAAAAAATGTAAAATTAAAGAAAAGAACACAGAGTAAAACTACAAAGTAAATATCTTTTTTAATTAAATTTGTGTAAATATCTAAATCATACAATAATAAAATATTCCATATCCGTCGTGTGAACATATTCAATGCATGTACCGCGATAGGAATATTGCTTACGTTCTGACCATTAATAGTGTCGAAAATATTCACCATTTCCGGGTGTTCATGTGTTAAAATTTTTTTATTGCTTGCAAGATTTCTTTTATACTTTTAAGAATTGATCTTTGGTTTTATATATTCACTTTTTAATTTCGAATATTTGGTATTGACGGACGTTAGGAAATTCGAACTAAAAGTTACAATATTATCTCGAAACTTATGTTTCTGAAATTTCATTTACAACGGAACATGGTGTATATTGTATTCAAATATACATATAGATAAAACATGGGATAAAAGAATTTTTTTATCCATGCCGTTTGTGCTAAATATCTTTTCTTATTTATCATATTCTAATTTTAATCGGAAAAATTTTAATAGCGTTTCTGTGCACGGACCGGACTAAATTCTACAGCAGATATCTTGGACGAAATATCGCCTAAAATACAATATAGCCGTTGAGATTGAAAGTAAATATTTATGAAGTCATGTTTTAATTATTTACTCTCAATTGTTTTTTTTTAAAAATTTACCAGGATTCTTTTTTTAACCCCCGTGTATAAAAGGCGGCTACATGAAAGTGTCTGATGCGTGACCAGGAAATCGTTTTCAAAACTCAGACTATCATGTAGCACGGTTAGCTGGCCTGTTAATCAAATCAGAAGCTATTGTTTTTTTAATGATTGACAGGCAGTAAATTATTGATCTTGAATCAGGTAGATTTTGGGGGCCTTAACATAAAATTGGGTGTTTAAGAAAAATAACACATGGAATTAAAAATAAATTACATAGACCTACAAATTCAATTGTTGATAATTTTAACGAAAAAAAAAAAGAAACAAAACAAAGCAAACATGCATGCAATCTTTTGTATAATTCTTGGGTTCAGTAAGAAATGTCGAACCGTAATTTGTAAAACCTGAAAAAAAAATTGAAAGTACATGTATAGACTGCACTAACTGTAGCCTTATGGTTTTATATCCCATATTTGTTTTTGACCATAACGCTACATATCCCGTAATGCAAAAAAATGCACTTACGGCGCAAGATTATTTTGCGCACCACACATTTGAGAGAATTCCAATTTCCAAGATGATCTACCTTTCCCTCCATGATGCTAGACACATTCACATTTTTAAATAAATATGTATACATATATTTTATACACCTCGACTATATATTCGTCACTGCAAGTGAAAACTCTCTTGAATTAGAATTTTCTGCAATCCCCGTGTGTAGAATTAGGGGGGTTAAAGGTTGATGATTTACCAAAGTTGGAAAGGAGAGAAATTCTCCTAAACAGAGCGCAAAAATCTTGCGCCGTAAATTGCGCCGTAAATTGCACATTTCTTGCATTACGGGATCTAAAGCGTTATGGTAAAAAACAAATTTAATATAGAAAACCATAACGCTGCAGTTCTGCACATAAGACTGCACGTACAAGGAACTATACACCGTTATTATGCAATTTAAACAGGAAATGACAGGTGTCAGTACATAGTCGAATCCTTGAATATACACATGTACACTGTACCTTGAACCCCTCGGAATACAGCCCAGTATTATAATATATTTTTTTTAAATTTTATTTGCATTGATTTAATTTGTATTTTTTTTTTTAAATTTTATATCTACTCATTTTTAATTCATGAGATTTGATATATTAACTTATTTGAAATGTTTAAGTGCCAATTCTATTACACTCTATCACTAGTACTGGTGATAAAAATTAATACAGTCATGCAAAAGTAAGGTACTGGTAATGCTTTTGAAATCTGGAATCTGCACCGTAAATCATGTGTTTAAATGAAAATGAGTAAAATTCTGATTCATGTAATTAAAAAGAATCAAATAAAAAAAAACAATTGAATTTAATAGGATGATTGTACATGTATTATAAAATTAATGTTACTGCAAATAGTGTTCATTTTAAATGTGCATCTGATACTAAGGGGTATTTTTTCTTTCATGTGTCACAGATGAAAATGAACCATCCAACATTTTGACAATTACTTTGGACATTTTCAATTCAAAATTCTATATCTGTTATTTAATTTAATAAGTTGTCATAATTACTCCAATCTGTCAAGTTTATCTATTTAGAAATATTTAATTATCTTAATTAGCCATGAGTGATATGACCAGATGGACTGTGCTTTGTGTGACTTAATTATTGTTTGTTTAAAATCATAATCTTTACCTCTTCTTGTAAATCAAATTAACTTATGTCACGTTACTCAAACTTGTCAATTATCAAACTTGTCTATAAATACAATGTTTTTGTTAACATGCGGAGAGTTGGAATCGGGACGCGCTTGTCCCTGATACTGTCCGACCCGACGAGAAATAAAGGTCTGTAAATCGTAAAGCGGCTTTATCTTCATTTACTAATAGTCCACCCTAGTGGCTTTACTGACAAGCCCACGCATCTTACGCCGGGGATGTGATAAGTGGTGGAGAATACCCGGGTACGACCCCCTCTCACAGCCAAGCGAGTTCTACCATTGATTCCCCTACCTTCTACGAGAATTCCCCTAATTCAGAAAAAAATATCTTTAATTTCGTACACGCCGCTATGAATCGCAGCCTTGGACCACAACGGAGACCTGTGGATTACTCTTTTCAGCGTCAATTTCCAGTTTGTGGCCGATGCGGAATTGTCCATGGACCCAGTTGCCGTGCTCAAATGGAGAAGTGTTACAAATGTAAGCGTCATGGTCACTATGCAAGAATGTGCATGACTGTCCTCTCTTCCCCTGTGAGGACGACCATGATAGCAAATACTAGTGCACCAACCCAAGAGCAACGTTCCGGTAGACGAAAGTCCAGAGACAAAGTTCGTATGGAAAAATACATTGAAACAAAATCTCACCTCCGCGAATTGCCGTTCTACAATTTGAGAAATACCGCGTTCCAGGAAACCCTTAACATCCATCATGGACTTAAAACAGAAATTCAACAGTTACGTTTCAAAGTGAAAGAAATGGAAATAATGTATTCCGACGCAGTAAATGTGATTATTAATTTGGAAGAAAATGTTAATATACTTTCAACGAGACAGCCATCTGAATCTCACTCATCTATCTGCAATACCGCCGAAGATAAACTCATCATTTCAAAGTTGCAACAAGAAGTTCAGACTCTACGGCTTGAAAAATCATCTCACAAACAGCTAGTAGATTCAATTAGTGCTAACGTCCAAGAAGAATGGAGAGAAAACAAAGCAAGACTTCAAGAAAGGGACAACACCATTCTGACCCTGAAAACCGAAAACATTCAACTCTTGAACAACCAGGAATTGTATTTACAACGAATTCGTGAACTAGAAAATGAGCTTTATAATCGTTCCATCAAAATTCCAAATTACGGACAAAATCGGCAAAATATTCATTTCGGACATCAAATTCATTCAAGTGAACAAACCCTCTAGTAAACCTATTCAAAACACGAGGCCGTGTTTTACTGGGGCAAGGGGGTATTGTCACAGATGAAAATGTACCATCGGACATTTTGACAATTACTTTGGATATTTTCAAGTTCAAAATTTTCACATCTGTTTTTAATTAATTGACTTTGTCATATTTTCTTCAACCTGTCAGTTTTATCTATTTTTAAATATGTAATTATCTTAATTAGCCATGAGTGATATGACCAGATGGACTGTGCTTTGTGTGACTTAATTATTGTTTATTTAAAATCATAATCTTTAACTCTAGTTGTAAATCAAATTAACTCATGTCATATATTACTCAAACTTGTCAATTATCAACCATGTCTATAAATACAAACTTTTGTTAACATTCGGAGAGTTGGAATCGGGACGCGCTTGTCCTTGATATTGTCCGACCCGACGAGAAATAAAGGTCTGCAAATCGTAAAGCGGCTTTATCTTCATTTACTATTAGTCCACCCTAGTGGTTTTTCCGACAAGCCCACGCATCTAACGCGAGGGTGTGATAAGTGGTGCAGATAACCGGGTACGACCCCCTCTCACAGCTAAGCGAGTTCTACCATTGATTCCCCTACCTTACGTCTACGAGAATTCCCCAAATTCAGAAAAAAATATCTTTAATTTCGTACACGCCGCTATGAATCGCAGCCTTGGACCACAACGGAGACCTGTGGATTACTCTTTTCAGCGT